TTTTTTTTTTTTGCCTTTTAGGAACCTCCACCAGTACCTCTCCGTCAAACTGGTTCGGTAAGTGAAGTCATTTCGCGGGTCATTTTGATAACGCCTGGGGGTCGGTCGGGAGGATTYAGGGCAATCACATAATTTCTTACACAAAAAATGAGAAAGTAGAAACCACTAGCAATAAGGAAGGGGTCAAAAAAGACAGTGCTTCTTAAGCTTGGGTCAGTTCATCTTGAGAATGTCGCAACAAAATAACCCCTCCCCCCTCAGGCTATGAATGATGAATGGTCCCTCAAAGGCGCAATTGGAAGGAGCAATTTTCTCTGCAACTTGTCTCGCAACGTCGTTGCGATACAAGTTGCATGGAGCATTGCAGCGTGTAACCCACAGCGCAATTTGAAAAATGTTGTGAGAAAAGTTGCAGCAATCGTTGCAAAAAGTAGAATTGTACATAAAACTTGATATGCATGGCATTAATGAAGTAGTTATGACCTGTTTATATCACTTTACAGGATTCTACTTCCCCGAGAGAGAGATTGCCATCAACAGGATCAAGGATTAGTGAGTATTTTGAGATATTTGGACCTTGACCTAAACTGACTTATCATCTTTGACCTTGACCTAAACTGACTTATCATCTTTGACCTTGACCTAAACTGACTTATCATTTTTGACCTTGACCTAAACTGACTTATCATCTTTGACCTTGACCTAAACTGACTTATCATCTTTGACCTTGACCTAAACTGACTTATCATATTTGACCTTGACCTAAACTGACTTATCATATTTGACCTTGACCTAAACTGACTTATCATATTTGACCTTGACCTTAACTGACTTATCATATCTTTGACCTTGACCTTAACTAACTTGTTATTTTTGGCAAGAAGAGATAACTAGCTAAAAACTAGTGTAAGCTGCGTCGGTGTTTCTAATGAAACAGTAATGATAAAAGGGTAAATTTTACACCATGAAAAGATTTTAAAAAACTTACTATCGTTTCGGACGCTAGTCCTTCGTCTGAGTAAAAGAGAAAAAGGTCCTCGTTCTCTTTTACTCCGACGAAGGACTAGCGTCCGAAACGTCAGTAAGTTTTTTCATCTTTTCACGGTGTAAAATTTACTGTTATTTTTGGCCTTGAGCTTTTGTCGACCTTGTCCTTCACTGACTTTGTCATTTTGACCTTTGGTGACTATTGACCTATATCGATCTTGAAAGTCATTGAGCTAATGTATTTTCCTGACAGGTGAAGTTAGTAACACATCAACAATATCAGGAGCCAGTACTTCAACCACAGGCAGCGGTCATGATGTAGGTTCAATGAATACTGAGCCGAAATTATCAATGTATGCATTCCCAACCGCGACGGGAAAAGATGGCGACTGTAMTGAACGCTCCCCAAAAACGGTTAGCGAAATTGACTCGATCCAAGAGACATCTCTCTTGCCTTCGTTTTTACGCTTGCATTTGCTCTAACGTAACCAATTGAGTTTCTATAGACCCGCCTGTCGTGCTGTGCGCAGTTTCGTACGACTTTTTAAAAAAGCTTAAAATTGTATCGATACTCAACACAATATTAACGTCGTATCATGATCTCTGTATTTTATGCCGCTAACCTTTAACCTTAACGCTAACACCTGTTTTGACTAATTGTACGTACAGAATGCCATGTTTCTCTGTCGTGTTGGCGAATTGTGTGGTCACGATTGTTGGTCTTTCCGAGGTTGCGCGGAAAACTGGTAACGAGTAGTACGCGCGTTGAGTCATGGGACATTCTTAGGGGCCGCCATTTTTTTWAATATGGCAGAAAGCTTGACAAACTCTCTTGGAAAACAGACCTTAAACTAAAGTAAATGTCAGTCGATTCCAATAATAAAACCTGTAGAGCGAAAAAGAAAAATGGCGTCCACTTAGACAGCCCATGATTCAGCGCGCGTCTTACTCTTTACCATTTTTCGCTCAACCTCGGTAGGCCAATTGTCCAGACCTTATGATGTACACTATCTGTAAAGTAATTAATAATGTTATGTATTTAATTGGCGCAGTTTTTGTATGGCTGTGAAAAGCYCAAGCTATGGATTTACCGTACCGTGATCGTGACGGTACGGCGTCCAAGCATTCTGATTGGCTGCGAAATGGCCGCGCACGCTGTGCGGATTTGTTCTGAAGGATGTCAGTTCATACTGTGAGCTTGCCGTTTCACAGTCATTCAAATTTATTCTATTATGTCTGACTAACAGCCCGTCAAGTGCGTATGAGTAAAAAAGCTTCAATAGTCAATGGTCAATTCAATACCCAGGCCTGCTAAAAAGGTGCGCCTTCATTAGAAAGAAAATAGAAATGTCTGTTAGGCATAGTCTTTTCCGCTATTTCACTTAAAAGTCGGTTTCGTATGTATGCGCATGCGCAGGTTTGAAAGCCATTTTTACTACGTGACAAACATACCTTTGTTTGTTATAGCATTTGAGGGTCAGACATAACACTTTTCTTTTATCGTTTTTAGAAGGCTTCAGGTTGTCCAATTTTTAGATCGAGTTCTTCTTTGTCAACTCTTTCTTCAGATTTATTTGTTTATTTTTTGTTTATTATTTATTTATTGTTTTTTTAGGGAGACGCTGAAGATGATCAAGAAGATAGTTTGTAAGTTTGGTTTTAACATTTTGTGTATACTCTCAATTGTAGAATCGTTGTCGGGTTCAGAAACATAGAACATAGAAGCTGAGACCGAAATGGCACATGGGAAGTACGTTAATTAGACGCATGCTGTGACCGGCGACACGTGGCATTAAACACTGTTTTTAATACGCGCTAGGCATTCTAAACCGACTGCATGGATGGCGCAAATGAATAAACTATAATATAATTATGTCATTTTCCATATGCCATTTCGGTCTCAGCTTTTATGTTCTATGTTTCTGAACCCGACAACGATTCTTCAATTGAGTATATCTTTTTTGCGAGGTTGGTATACAATGAAAACAGTGGATGAAACAGTCGCCATGTTGGTTGATCTAACAAGACRAGCTAATGAGAAATGCTTTGTTATCGTCAACCAAGATGGTGGTTATGACGGAACATGTACTTGCTCTGTTGTAGCAGACGTTCACTTATCTTTTACCACTGGGTCGTTACAAAAGTCAGTATTACACATGATGGTCTCAAATATGAGCAAATCTTATCAGGTCTCTCCCTTGATTTTAAGAGTTTTTCTCCAGGTTCTTTGCCTTTCTCCTTCCGCTAAAACTTGTRCAGCACGCTAAATCTCAGTGTTCGTTTTTAATTTGGTTTCTGTTTATCCGTTTAGCGTGACTGTTGAAATATAACAAGAGCTTTGATTATAATTTGATGAAGATTACACTTTATTCCCTTGTGCGGTATTGATGGTTTGCAAGCATTACCAAGAGAGTCAAAAGACAAAAACATGGCGGCCATTGTGGTGCCCTTAACAATGGATGGTAATGAGAAATMTTTTGTTAAATGGCACCAACATGGCCGCGATGACGTAACGTGCAATCGTAGAATTCGAGTATATTAGCGCATTATCCCCTACCAGTTACTATCCGAGTTTAATTTGGGAATTTTGATTTTCTTTCAGCATGTCCCGAGCTGAACTGATAAAGCAGCTTGAAAGTAAACAAAAAGTAAGAAATCTAGTATTCATTCATTCACTCACTCCCAGACACGTACCGTCATTCATTCCCTCGTTCGGTGTTCAGCCATTTTTGCTTCTTCATTGAAATAGACCCTTTTCGTGTTCAAAATTACCGCTGTGTTCCTTGATTACAGAATCATTTACTCAGGTTTAGCCTCGAATCAGTGTCTAATTACTCGCAAATACCAACGGTAAAGTAAAGAATGCACAAGTTCAACAATACGAACACTTTCAAACTTGACGGACCTTGAATGGAACATGTGAATAATCTTCACAAAATCGAGGCTAAGCCTGAGTAAATGAGTCTGTAATCAAGAAACACAGCGGTAATTTGGAACTCGAAAGGGGTCTATTGCCTTTTAATCAAATATTTTTATTGCACATCTAAAACTGAATTTTACTGAATTTTATTTSCTTCAGAAAGAACGTCCTCCGACGTCGCCCAAACATACTCGTTCTTCAAATGTACGTATAGAGTTCTAGATAGGATGTTTGCAAGATGGCGTCATTGACCTCTACTACCAGACGCCCTTGCAAACTTTTTTGTTAGTGGTCAGTTAATCAGCACCAATATTGTATAACTATTCTATATATAACTATAGGGAATACAAATTTAAATAAGAAAGAAAATTCGCGAAGCATTTAGTATGACGTCATCATGCAAACGTCCTATTTTATATTGACTTCTCGGATGCAGAGATTTTCATCTTTATCGCCAAAGGATGTGTAGATGATATCCATCGATAGTGTTCGTGGTCTGTCATAGCCTGGGAAATGTAGTAATTGTTTTTTGTTTATAACTAATAATTTCTTACATTCTGCTCTGTCTTGATTTTGTTAGGCAGGTGCTCCACTCCCACCAGTACCACCTCCAGATTATGACCAATTACAGCTTAAGTCTCCCCCTCCAGTTCCTTCTCGAGGTAAGATAGATGACCGACTGACCGACTGACCCGACTAACCGACTGACCGACTGACCGACTGACCGACTGACCGAGTGATCGACTGAACGACTGAACGACGGCTGGCTGGCTGGCTGGCTGGCTGGCTGGCTGGCTGGATGGATGGATGGATGAAATAGAATAAGTGATTAATATTTTTTATCTTTTAAAGGACATTGTCCACGTAGTCCTCGCGCTGCACGCAACCACGAAAGATCCAAAACCGCACCCGTCAACCCCATTGACGTCGAACTCGCTCAAAAACCTAACCGAAATAGCTCACGTTCTGCTAAAGAACCTGCAGGTAAAACCCAAGGTTGTCGCCCGTATCTGAACAARCACCCAAGCAGTGATCTTAGTAAGGTTCTTTTGCATATGATACGGTTGCAGTAAATTATCCATCCTTGGAGATCATATAGGCACTTAGAGAAGGAGGCTAGCGAGACTACTACTACTATGGCTATACACTGCCTCTCTACCTCCACCCAACATCACCTTGCATCTTCTATCCCACCCTCCTCTTGCTATTCTTCCCTTCCTACCCTCCTCTT